AATGGAATGGAATGGAATGGAATGGAATGGAATGGAATGGAATGGAATGGGATGGGATGGGATGGAATGTAGCACAACATAAACATGGTGATTTGTAACACTTCAGGTGGGAGAAAAAGGAATTTACAGCTATTTGAATCGTTTGCACAGAGCAATTTTGTCTGCCTAAACATCCCCAGTGAGAGATTAATGCAGTGATTAGGTTATGTATTTTGATGATATTTTTAACAGTTATGATGGACTGCAAGATTTAATTGTGGCTGTAGTAAGTGTACTTCAGGTCCCCAGAAGAGCCCTTCCACATGAGCACACACGGGTTTATGAAAGTTACTTTACCCACTGGATATTTCTGTTACAATCAGCATTGGCCTAACATCTATTTTATCTTGCTCAAAGATAGCAAGTTTGATATCTGCAAAGTCAGTCAGTACTTTTTTTTTTTTTTTTTAGGTAGGATCTCCAAACTACTTAGGTTATGTTGGATTAACATAGACTCTGGTAATCATAGGCACAGAAGCTGCTTCTGTGGTTATTAAAATCAGCCTAACAACAAAAGTTTCTAAACTGCAACTATGATGTCTGTGAAAAGAAAAACATGTTGAAATTCTCTTAGTCACTTTCACTCCACTGAAAGTTCTTTTTTTTCCCCCTAATAAGGAAAAACTAAACATAATTTGACTTGGAAGATCTTAACCTAAAGGTTGTCTTTTTTTAGCTTGAGAATTATTTTTTAAACTCTCAGTGAATTCCTCCAACTCAAATTCTAAGCACTGGATGGCACTAACATCGTAGATGCAACTAATGCTGGCTCATTAGGAGATATGTAGCGATGTTTACTGTTTTTTGTTTTTATTTTCGTAATTTTGAGTACATAGACATATTGTACCAGTGTTATTCTACACTTTTTACATTTGGTGTTCTCAGATGGAAGGTGACTTTTCTCCTGTGTGGCAGTGTGGTTAAATGTGTATACTTGTATTTAAAGTTCAGTGTGCTGAACTCCTTAGCTACTTGATTGGGAACGAAATCTTCCAGATTTCTACCCTTATTTGTATACTCAAAGCGTAACTACAAAGTTGCATCCTGTTGATGAGAGAGGAAAATGTGGGGGCCCTCTGCACCAAGAAATGGTGTGACACCATTCATTCCAATGATACCTATCTTGAAGTCCCTTCAAGTCCCACTGGAATAAATGGATACTGAGCAATACAATTTGTTGGTGTGGTGAAGCCCTGACAGCCCATCAGCTGCTACTGTCATTCAGATCTTTTTTTCCATGGTCCCATACATGTTTATCAGAATGTTCTAGCCCAGGGTTTCTCGGCCTCAGCATCTTTAAGATGTGTGGACTTCAACCCCCAGAATTCCATAGCTGGGGAATTCTGGGAGTTGAAGTCCACACATCTTAAAGATGCTGAGATTGAGAAACCCTGGTCTAGACTAAATAAACCAGTGGCTCTCTTTTTCCCCAGTAGCAATTTGCTTTTTGCAACTGAACATTGGTTGAGCAGCAGCCGAATAGCCCATTGCACTGTCAAGCAGCTCGCCTCCTCCCACCTTGTTCTTCGATGTGATTCTTCCTGAAGGTGTCCATACATTCGATCTTTGTTTGTAACGTGTGACTGTAGTGTTCATGCTTCAGAAGGTGAGAGTGGCAGCCCCACCCGTCATCTGCCAGTCCAAGAGCAAAACACTTTTAGAGACATTATTTTGCACTTTCTTATGTATAAAAATTAGTAGGAACTTTTTTTTTTTTCCGCTTTGTATTGTTTCAGACTCCTTTGGTTTTGCTAAATGAACTGTGTATAAAAACTATTTATGCAGTTAAAACTGTTTTTAGAAAATATTTTTAATTTCAGCAAGTTTGGTTACTTGTTGCATGACTTAACACAACTGACTTTTTGTGTCAGTATAATGTATATTTTTTGTCCTGTTATTAATTTGTAAGCCCTGGGGTAAATGGCCATTTATTTGTACAGCAACAGGAGTAAATTGAAGATAACTGGCTAGGACTGGAGGGGTGGACTTTTGTACTATATTGAAGAATCCAATATCTGTTTTTGGTGGTTATGTAAAAGGCCTGAAGAATTACTATCTAGTGTGCAATCTGTGATATCTGAATGTTTTATTGTATATTTGTCTCCAATGCAAAAAGGTAGAGTAACACAAATACAATACATGATTAAATGCAATAGTTCAGGTACCTTTTTTGTTTTTCATTTCAAATAAATACTTGCTATTTACCACCAAGTTTTTCTGTCCAGAGCTCTTTGAAATATTGTTTAAACAATTTCTAAAACACATATTCTAACCAGTGGACGAGGAGCATGCACCAAGAATTCTATTTCCAGCCAAGTCAGACTCTTAACCCATCAAAAAATCAGAAGAACTCAAATGTTCAGCCAGTGCAGACTAAACTAATACAAAATACTGAATTGTTTTGGCCCCTGAGCTGTTGCCGTGATAATAGTACAGGGCTGTTTTAATGAAAAGTGAGCTTTCCAGAAACTTGCATTATTCAGTAATAAAAATCATGGTACTTAAGGCTCTAAAGTTTATATATTGTGCTTAATAGCACTAAAAGGAAGCATCATATCTGAAGAAACCATGTCCTTGAACTTACTTGGAACTTTTTATGTAAATATGATACTCCTCTTAAATAAACTGCAACTGTGCTTGATACATTCCCCTTCCAAATACGCTGCGTTTCAAAAAATTATAAGACATAGTTAAATGAAAACAGTGAATTGGAATCATGGCATGATTCCAATTAGCTAGAAACTTGGGCTATCAGTTATCTAAAAAATAAGGTAGTAAACAAGTTGAAGCCTCCTGGTGTGGCTTAATTGCTTTCAGAAAATAATAGGTGTTTTGTGGGTAGAGGCATCTCTCTTATAAACCCTACAGCTTTTGTAACCATAGGCAACCCAATTAAGAGGCTATGAAATGATACATAACTTTTTAACAATCATTTTCTGGTGCTCTTTCCCAGTTGCTGTAATTTATAATAGGTTCTCACCTCTCAAGCGATTTCACAACACTGTATGCAAGAGAAAAATGACTCAGTTGTCTGGCTAACTAAGTTCTTTACACAGTTCCACATGTTGTCATAGTACACATAATGTCATTTTGCTTTGAAACGGTGCCTGATATTTGTAAACAGCACTGCATTTTTTCTCATTTAGGAAGTTTTAGATCAAATAATGCGTTTTCATCAGTGGATGAAGGGAATGTAGCTGATTTTTGTAAATACATGCTTTTCTTTTCCTGCTGTGCATTTCAATCAAGACCTAGAATAAAAAAACCATGTTGCATTAAGTCCCCTTCCTAGTAAGAGGTCTGTTGATTGACAGTGGGGGGAAAAACACTCTAGAGAAGCAGGCCTGCAGGGTAGACTGGTAGCCTGGATTTGCAGATTACAATGGGATTGGTAGTTCGTGTTTCAGTAAATTTTAGAAACCTCCTGTTGTAGCATGTTGTTCGAATCAGACCATTACATCAAAATATGCACAGCGTAAGTAAACACAGTAATTGTTAACAAGGTCTCTATTGTGTGATCCTGGCCACTAAATACCAAAACTAGCTTCAAAAGATCACTTTTCCATTAGGCTTACTGAGTAACCTAGCATCAGTTACCTTCTTGAGAAATTAAAGCAGAACTTATCTGTTAACTGCAGTGTGTAAATACTTTTCACACACACAAAACCTCATAATGTTGCTTTTTTCATCAGAGCTTTATTACTATTTTGTAGTTATCAGTTCTACAAAAGAGTCAAAACACATCTCAATGTCAAACATTTACAGTATGCACAGTTTTGCTAAATAAGCCAAATTATTTTACTGGAAAGTGCGAATTAAAGGCAGATATAAGGGAAGAGTTTCCTTTGAATCACACTGTTAAAACAGAGCTTGCTGAAAAAGTTTGTTGCAGGTAATGGAGAGAAAAACCTGAAGCTGAACTGTATTCTTAAAAAAAAAAAAAAAAAAATCCAGTACACACTATAATTCAGCCAGCACAACTCGGACATTGACTTTTTCAGATGTTTTCACTAAACATATACAGTAAAACCCATCCTTTGTGAATGGCTTCTAATTGGCACTGCTACTTACATACAGTATGTGTGAATACACATAAACACCTTTTGAAATATTTTTGCAGCAGTTTATTGTAACATTCTTACATTGTCACCAAAAAGTCTTATTTCAAAGGTATCCTGAACATTAAAAGATACTGGAGCACAACTAACATTACCAAGGCGGCTTTTTTCACTTTAAGGAATAGCAGCATTATACAGTGGTGCCCCTTAACAGTGCAAACAAAGCTGGCAGGTTTAATTCTTCTGCATTCAGTTGCTTAAATACAAACTCATTTAAATAAAAAAAAATCTTTACAAATTACACAAACATAACAATTTTGTGTTGAAAGTTACAATTTTATATTAAAACTAAATTTTACATGTTTTTATGATTCACCATCAAGACGGAGTAAGTAGCATGTTTTCTAAGGAAAACATTTAAGTCTCGCTTTCTACAGGCATACAAATGACTAGTTTATGTCAGTGCAAATATTCCTGTTGATCTTTAATCCGATGCCAGCATCTTGGTTAGGTGTGGTCTTTTTGCCATGTTTTTCTCATGAAGCAGCCATGTCCACTGAGCATTATCCTACTTGTGTAGTGTGACAGCTGGCAAGATCACATTAGATATCTAAAGGTGATGTTTCATCTACGGGAGTCCCACTTAAAATCCTTTCTCCATCCCACCTTGCTGAAAATAAAGGGGGATATGGAATGGCAGCCACAGGACTCATTCTGTATAGTGATCCCTGCCAAACAAGTATTTTATGCCACCTGAAAAAATGGTACCTGCCCAGAAAAGTTTCAGATATGA